AACCTGCCACCTTAGGTGTATGTGGCTGGGGCCCCAGCCACTTGAGCCACAGGTGCCGAGCCTTGTCGTGCATTCTTTCCAAAACTCAGGACTTTTTTTAAAATGCCATGGGATATGGGACAAATTGTTAAAAAACGGGACTGTCCTGCCAAAAGCGGGACGTCTGGTCACCTTAGCCTAGAGGTCACACCATGAGTCCTTTTGTCCTCATGGCAGACAGATTCCTCTACTCTGGAGCCTTTGTGGGGGCCTGGGCACCTTTAGGAGCCTGAGCTGGAACTGAAACTGGAGCTGCAGATGAAGCAGCAGATTGGGCCATTGTTTGATCCTTGGCCTTGGTCTTTGGCCAGCAGAGCCTGAGACCCTTGGCAATGCGTGCACGAGCATGCTTCCCAAGCTTGGGGTGGGCAAGCGACTGAGTTTACGGCTGGCACCCTTTGGAATCTTGGTCTTAACCTCCTTGGGCTTTACAAGGGCCTTGATAGCTTCAGCATGTGTGCTCATGGCCTTGGCATTGTTGGCCTGCATCTTCTTCAGCCCCTTCTTGTTGTACTTCTTGGCAAAGCACATGTTCCTTAGGAACTTGGGATCCACTCCCTTAAGAGATTCATATCTTTGTGATTGGGTTTTCTTGATGACATTTCTGTACCACTTTCGGGACTGGTTGTATGTGGTGTGGTTCTTGGAGTTGGCCATCTCTGCACTGTGAGCCGCCTCATACAAGAGATACTGTTCTAAGCTGGCTTTGTGCTTCTGATCTTGACTCTCTCATGGGAGACTTATGGATTTACTGAGGAGATGAAATGTCTTCTGGCCATTTACAATTTGGATATTTCCCAAACTGTGCTCTCTTTCCTAAGACTATGGGCCACATTACCAAGATCCTCACTCATTAGGAGCTTTAGGCATGATACAAACTCAGTCAGTCTTCTGTATACCTACAGACCTCTGGGGATGCACAGTAATTTCTATGAGTGTTATTCATTAAGCCTTTTCTCTCAAGTTGAAATTAAAAGGTAGCTTCTCTGCTTCCCCAGGCAAAGTCTTTTGCCAGTAAAATCTTCAAAAATCCTCCCTATAATTCCTTCTACTCTGGACTATTAATGTGAATGAAAGTTTTGAGTCTCTTGGCAGTTCTGGGCCATTATCTTTTCTCGAGTTCTGTGATCTGTCTTGTCATTCTCTCTTGATTTGCATTAGTACCTTTTGTCTTGGGTACAGCATCCTGTTATAAATGTTTTTAAATAAAATATCAGGGGGATTGTTTTCCTGAAGCTCAGAGTAAAACCTTGGGCTAGGGCTCCTTACTTCCTTCTGAGATTCTAGCCAAGTGGACCTCTGCACTGTGGGGCCCACAGGACATCTACTTACACAAAGATGTATAGACTTAAGGAGGTGAGGGTTTCATCTGTTGGTGGGAATTTCTCTCAATAATGTGTTGTGGTGATTCCAGTGGAGATTCATTCATGGTCAATATAATGGAAAATTCTGAGTTTTATGATTCTTTTCAACATGAACTTGCGGATTATATCAGAAAACAGAAAGTCAGAGGATTACAACCAAAGCTTTGATTTACAAAGGTGACAGAAGACTCTGCATACCCAGAAAGGGGCCTCACTGACCCCAGACTTCCAATGCTAGACCAGGGACTCTCCTTCACCAAGCTCCCTAAGTTTTCTTCTTCCTACAAAAGGCTGAAAACAGTGAAAAGCCAGGTGCCTCCCTCACCTGAAATTCATCACACCAGACAAAGACTGGAATCTCTAAACCACTGCCAGAAAATACACGACCATTCCTTCACACACCAGTGGCTTCCAAGCCCACCTGTGCAAGGAGTGAATGCAGGCCCCCTCAAGGCTCAAGGCAGAGAAGAAACGCATCACCTCTCCTGGGAGGACTGCATCAGTGTCCATCAGGGGGACCAGCAAGACAGAGGCCAGATGACACGGTACAGGGAGGACAGAGAAGGAGGAGCAGCCAGGTGGAGCACTTAGAACAGGGGCCTAGAGAACAGAGGCCTCAGAAAGAAAAAGGCAGAGGTGGACCCATTCAGTGCAGAGAGGGCCAAACACAGAAAGAAGAGCTACCATGATGAAGATGTGGCCAAAGAGGCAAGAAGGTCTCATAGAGACAAGAAGGGGCCTGGCAACAAAGGTCCAGAGGAGAGGGACTTGTGGGATGAAGCCATCCTTGGCAGTTATTACTGATGGCTAGGAGCTTGGGGTCCCAATATTAAGTAATTTGCATCTGCAGAAAAGGATGGATTACATAACACTGAAGCAATTAAATGACCACTTTGAAGAAAATAAAATTTTATACTCTATTCAGCTATAAAAACCCAGGTGGTTTAAAGATGGACATGTAAAAACTAAAGTATGAAAGTATTAGAAGAAAATATAGGAAGATTATATTTAGTCTTGTAGTATGGATGCCTTTCCTAAGTAAAACACATTAGCCAGGGACTATTAAAGAAGGAAAATTAATAGATGTGATTATAGAAATTTAAAATTTAGGCCAGTCTAGAGTCCTTGCATGCCTGCCCTCTCATAGCTCCTTTCTCAACCTAGCCTGACAGCACCATGGTGGACGCCTTCCTGGCTACCTGGAAACTAGTGGATAACAAGAATTTCAATGACTACATGAAGTCAATTGGGGTAGGTTTTTCTACCAGGCAGGTGGCCAACATGACCAAGCCTACCACAGTCATCAAAAAGAACAGGGACACTATCATCCTAAAGACACAGAGCACCTTCAAGAACACAGAGACCAGCTTTAAGGTTGGGGTGGTGGTCGATGAGACAGCAGCAGATGACAGGAAGGTCAAGTCCACTGTGACACTGGATGGAGACAAACTTATTCACCTGCAGAAGTGGGATGGGCAAGAGACAGCACTTGTGCGAGAGCTAAGTGATGGAAAGTTTATCCTGACGCTCACCCACAGTACTGTAGTTTGTACTCCCACTTAACGAGAAAGAGGCACAACCTGCCCATGTCTTTGCTGACTGTTGCCAATAGGCTGACCCTCGACTCAGAACCACATTGCCTCATTGTTTCCTCTGTATTTTGTATAAATACATCTTGGTTAAGGGATTCTTCTGGAGTCAGGTACCACCAGCCTGGATCCAGTTCCAGTTCCTCTAGTGTGTGTGTGGTTTTTTTTTTTTTTTTCAAAGGGTGCTCTGAGGTCAATAAAGCAGAGCCAAGGCCAAAATAAATAAATAAATAAATAAAAATAAATAAAAAAAATAGATGTGATTGCTGAAATATTTAAAATTTGTGTTAAGCAGATTTTGTAAGATTTTTGAAACAGAAATGTTTAAAATAAAGCTTTGTATATATGCATATCAAGAAATAAAATAAAATAAAATATCAGGACATGTAATGTGTCCAATTTCATACAAATAGTGCCTACAACATGGAAGTATATAATCATCTACGGACTATCTCTAGGTGGTGGAATTACTAATGCTTTTCTATTTCTTCTTCCTTTTATAATTTATTTTATAAATTGCATAATCCAAATATTTATTATATTTTGACCAGAACTAAAAAACGATTCATTTTAGAAAGAAATAATTTTGCAAAGCAAGGGGTATAGATCGTGAGATGGGAATTCATTGGCTAGCTTCAAAGTTGACATGCTGTTGGGTGCCTGGGGTAAAAAAGGAAGGTAGGAGAAAGAATAGCGTGGTATTCACAAGCAGTTTCCCTGTGTTTCTTACCCTGTTATTATCAATCCCTTTTCTATCTCTAGCAGCATTGGGAAAAGACCTGTCTTGTGCCAGAACTTAACAAATATACAGAGATGACCATGAAGTTCTGGGTCCTCCCACTCATCACGTTCATCTTTGAGCTTGTGATGCTTCTGTCCGTGCAAGGAAGCTTCAAACACGGAAAGCCCAGTAAGTGATGTGAAAAAGGAGGGGGTGCTCTTCCTAGTCTGGGGTGCCTATCAGAGTTGTTTCAAGGCCCACATTTCCAGAATCAGTGTCTTTCTTCTACAGAGACATCCAAGCAAGATAGGCTGGATGTTCCCAGTCTGGTGTTTCTTCAAGTTCCCTCTCTCAACTCTGAAAGCAATACTAGGTGTATGAAAAAGGAACATAGCTTTGTGAACATTCCAATTTAGCAGTAAATCACATTTTCCAATGTCAGACCAGCTTGGTTAGAGGAAACACCAGAAGAGCTTCCCTCCAAACCCACGTTTTCAGAATCTCCGTGCCTCAGCTGGGCAAGACTTTAACCAATATCAAGAGGGTAATATTTAACATATTCATTTAGTTGGAGGGGAAGAATCTTTTAGAACATGAAAAAAAATAGAAAATACAAATAAGGGATCTTAAGCGGATCAGAGCTTGGGTTCCTGTGATAAGAGAATAGGGACCAAAAAGGCACTGAACAAAAGGTTGTGAGCCAGTGAGCCAGTGAAAGACATGAAATTTAGGGAGAAGCCGAGTGCTTAGGTGGTATCATCAAGGAGGCAAATAGGTAGGGAGAAAAGTCAGTTTTGATTCTCTCTTGGATCATTTTCCCATTGTGCAAATTCATCATGGAAGTCAGAGCTAGAGGGTATGGCAAGTCCTAAAATCTAAGGTTATATGAGAATAGATTAGGTGGATTGGTGTCATATATGGTCAAGGTGTTCCAAGTCTTAATTTTAGGAGCCAGAGTCCTGTAATGCTGTGGGACATGTGGGAAAAGGGAACATGTGTCACAGAAGGATGATGATCTTTTTGAAGAGACTAGTTAAGATCCGAGGAAAGAATTTTCTTAGAAGACAAAGAAATACTTTGTGGCTTGAACCTCAAGTTCCCCAAAGGGTTATCAAACTTGGAAAGAGTTTCTTTTCCAACTTGTGCATGGATGGACCTTACTAACTTCTACCGTCTCCATTCCAGTGATAGTAAAAGAAATCAAGCAATGCTGGATACAACCTTCATTCAAGTACTGTAGAACCAGATGCACTAAAATAAATACCTGTGTAAGGCTGAATTTCACATGCTGCTGGACCTACTGTGGAAACATCTGCTTGAATGATGGGTGAGTAGTGCCAGGTGAGAGGATTGGAGCCTGGGTGCACTTCATCTCTGATCTTCATCTACTATTCAGGAGCTGTGATCAGGAGTAGAAAATTGTAGTCACCCAAATCCCAGTCAAAGAAACAGTCAGTGAAAAGCAATGGCCTTCTATCCCCAAAGCGAGGCTGCCACTCACTGCAAAATAAATCAAGACACTGATCTTCACTCTTATTCGGTTCCCTTTGCTTCCCTCAAAACATCACCTGCAAGTTTATATGTCCCACCCTTGTCCAAGGCCCCACTGAATTGGGCCTCTCCGTGGGTTCCTTTCACTTAGCCAGGCCTAAAGAAACCTGGTCTCTGCCTGTCTTCCCAGTCAGCAAACCTCATGGGAAAAATTGCTTAAAAGTGAGTAACTCCTAAAGTAACAGCAAGAATTTATGTCCTTCTAATCTTGGGCCATGGATGCCATTAAGTTTGGAAATAGATTTTTCTTAGGGCTCCTGACTTTCAACTACCTAGTTTTTCTCTTCCAGAGAACCTTTCTATTCGATGATGAACTAATACGATCTATCTGGCCTACACCAGTGTGGGCTGGAGGATGGACAACCATGTGGTCTAAGAAGAGTGCTGCCTGGTTCCTATTGATTCATTCTCTCCTTGGCCTCTTTACCCTGAGAAGGCTCAAGTTTTGCCAAATAAACTGATACACCAATCTGAAGGCTCTGCATTTTTTTCTACTTCATCCCTTAATTTCCCTCATTACAATCCCCAATAGTCCCAATAGTTGGTCCCATCCCATCATAGGCACAGGCTCCCAATTCCACCTTCCTAGTTAGACCTATGTATCAGCCTCACTCTGTCACCTACGCTGAGATACGATGACCTTGTATAGCAACTACCCAAGGAGATTTATTAAAATCTCATCGGGTAGCACAGTAAAAATTTCTTATCATTCATAATGCATTTCATTAGGTTGGTCAGTGGGATGTCATCCATGCCATAATTCAAGGAAACAGGATTCTTCCATCTGTAGCTCTGTTGTCTCCCAGGGCTTCTGCTTGTTCCTCTACATCCAGTCAACAAATGGGAGAAGAAAAGTAGCACAAAGACTCATCTAGAAGGTTTTTAAGTGCTGGACTTCTAAGAAGAGTTCATCATTTTTATCAACCTTTCATTGGCCATAATGTAGCCATATGGGTCTACCTTTTGGTAAAGGAGGCTGGGAAATGTAATCTAGTTATCACAGAAAAACAGCAGATGGGAATTGATAAGCATTTGGCAGTCTGTGACCAGTTTACTCTTGCAAAGCCAGACTCCTGAACAAAAACTCAAAAACACTGGCCTCCACATTGCTCTGTCCAATGAAACAAGGAACGCTTTATTAAGAAGTGATAATAAAGCTTGGCGCCTGTGGCTCAAGTGGCTAAGGCACCAGCCACATACACCTAAGGTGGCAGGTTCGAATCCAGCCCGGACCCGCCAAACAACAATGACGGCTGCAACCAAAAAATAGCCGGGCATTGTGGTGGACACCTGTGGTCCCAGCTACTTGGGAGGC